TTCTTCAAAATAAAATAATAATTATTCTACTGATGAAAAATCTAACGATTTACTAAGTTACAAGTTTTTAAATACCAGTAATAATTTTTTTTTGAATTCTTTATTGAAAACCATTTCTTGCATGAAACTTGTTTTCACTGTTTACTTAAACACAAATAAAATTCATTGAGATATAAGGACATAAAAGCAACAACTTTTTAAATCATTTGGCAGCTATGCATTTTATTTAAATAGTGATCAGCAACCTTTGAATTGCAATGATTTGATTTTAAAGGTAGTCAATTTTAAATAACTAGGTGCATTAAATAGCTACGATAGTGTTGTAAAAGTGCCATATTTTAAATAGATATGATCCTCTAAATAGCTATGAAGATTTATTTAAATAACTGAATGTTTATTTAAAAAATATCTCTTTTGAGAAGCTACGAAATATTCTTCCTTGCAATAGAAGCCGTGCCCTTAATCTTAGAAGAACACTAACAGCAAAAAAGACACATTTTTTCTCCATTCACCTTCAATGACTATAGTAGTCATGTAATAAATACAGCAAAGTATATGTTTGACTGATAAAATAACATAAAGATAACGAACAGAGTTTGAATATGACCAAATAAAAAAAAAAGAAACAATACCATATAAATAGTACAGCTAGCGGACAACATTTATTCATTCCTCCAAGTCAAATAATCGCAATAAGCAAGCAAGATTACCTATGCAACTTTTCGAACTTATACATAATGACTAGAAAGCGATTGAAACACACGCATAATTCTTCGAAGATGTCATGCATATATCACGTAGTGGTTGCAAAGGAGGGATAGTGTTTTCGTTGGGTTCTGATTTTTTATTGGAGTCTGTGGAATATTATCCAAGCAGACAAGAGTATTGGAAAATCTGTGTACATACTCAAAGACACAATCTTTTGAGCGTTTACATACGTGTGGAAAAAAGTAGTCGATTCAAAACTAAAAGATTTACACTTGAAGTGTGTGTACTCTTACTTCACTCCGAAATTTCGAGCCTTTATCTACTTTCTAAACAGGTTAAAGCTTTTTACAACAGGCCTACATGTCGAAACATACATAGACTATGATAGCTTTGTTAACCTATCAGTTAGGGTTTCAAATATTTCTTTCCTTTAGTCGCATGATTCATACTCACACTATTGTGTGCGGTGAGGTAATCAACCAAGTCAAAAATGATATAGCTAAAGTGATGTATCTTGTTTCATATTTCACCATTGTTTATCGAGTTTTTGATAAAAAAAGAAAAAACATGGAAGGTGTTCAATTCGCCCCATCTCATAATATTGAATCGTTCTGTAGTTTAATTTTCTTCAGGCCCACTTTCACGGAGTTTTTCTTACCTATGTAAAATAATCTACTTGTTTTACTCAGTATCTTCTATACTTATAGTCACAATAGTCGACTGTAAAACCGAGGCAAAAAAGTTTCAAAGGACAAAATTGTTGGACCTGAAATTAAATTTATTTGTATTTGTCTCTCTTATATAAATCCCTCTCATCTAAGTCCGATTCTTTCTCAGCTATAATGAAAATTCTATAATAAGTGTATGAAAATTCCCACGAAAAAAAAATTTATAAAAGTTTGCGTTTGAACGCCAACTTTTAGGAAAAAAATGCTAGTTTTGCGTTTAAACACATCCTGTTCTATTTTCAACGCGTTTTTTCAACTTAAAGCGTCAACTAAAAACAACGTTCGAACGCATGATAAAAAAACGCATTTTCCTTCCCAGCAAACGCTATCATAAACACCATTCGAATGAGTTTTTTTTTTGACATGTATTTCAATACATTTTATAAGTAAAAAACGAAATCTTCTTAAACAAACATGCAAAAAGGATGTGGGTGTAGTTAGAGGCAAGAGTAAAATCCACAGCCACACCCATACCATATACAATATTCTGGTCATAACCTTGATAGCCTTCTTTTACAAAGCGGTTAATATACATATATATATATCATTGAATCTTTCTGCATCTTAAATAAGATGGCTTCTACTTCAGTATAAAAGATTAACTCTACATTCTTTTCGTATAACAGTAGTTAAATAGAAACAGAATAAAGTGATAGTGCCTATATGCCTGCCTATCGCCTTTTCAGTCTACTTTAATACAATACAATCGTTTCTTTTTCTTTTCAATACTGTCTTCGTGTATAGTCCGTTCATTAGTTGGATATATTGTTTTTTATGAAACGAACAACAATAACCCGTTTAGAAATTAGCCGAGATCCACTTAATTATTTTTGAGATAATTTTAATTCCTCCCTTCGTGTGAGCAAAATGTCATTCATAACTCCAGAACAATGTGTTGAGCGTAGTATTTTGAGACTTCTCGTTTATCCCATGTCATCACATAATCTCCGAAAGCCTTCTTAGTATTTGTACAGTAGATTTAGTTAACGCATCGTATTTTAATATAGACCTAATAATTCTATTGGATGATCTTTTTTATAATTTTTTTTTCTATTTATAAATATCTTAGAAGGAGTTTTTTGAATAGCTTCACTTATTCATTAAAATAAAACACATAATTTTTGTATAGATAGCACCATCGTTCTGCTTGATTATATGTGTTTCTCGGAGCTGATTCATTATCACTAAAATACTTTTTAATTTATACAGAAAAAAAAGAGATTTTCTTGTAAAAAAATTTATGCCACGGAAGTGTTATGTTAGTTTTAATTGTTCCTTATTAAATTACCCAATTGTTTATTCTTTGAGATCGAATTGAATGTGCGCAGAATAATTTTTTCCGTAAATCCTTTTTTATCTTACCAAATCTTTTGATGTCCTAATCTTGATATATTCTTCTGCTCGTATACCTGACTAGTATCTCCTTATCGTTTCATTTGTTTTATCTTGACTATTATTAATTCGCCCTTTCGCGTTAATCCTAATCCTTTCTACTATAAAATCACCCTTCCTTTTATTTTACTCTGATTATTATTCCTTCACCATTTCGTCAGTTTTATTCTCACTATTATCCAATCATTCTTCCCTCTGTTTTACCGCTACTATTATTCCTTCACATCTTTGTCTGTTTTTCTCTAACTTTTATCATCTCGACTCTATATCTGTTTTGTCCATACTATTATCTACGCGTCCTTTTGTTCGTTTTACTTTGAGTATACCCTTCTCCTTTTTTGTAGTAGTGCTACAGATATACATGTAGGTGTAGCCTGCTTTTACCTAGTCCTTGAAAAGTCACCAAAATTATACTTTTGCTTCCTTCCTCTCAGTGTTAGCTGTTTTACATATTTTATCCTAAATATGTATCTCATTCATTCGCATCACTCTACTTGGCATTTCTTCATAACTTCAGTCTCTAGATTTACGAAAAGTTTCCTAGAGAAGTGTCGCCCTTATGGTGGAAGAAGTTGAAATACTTAACATACTCTAATATCTCTTCCTATTTAGTTTTATAATGAAATCTTCCGTTAGGTTGTTGTATATATTGACAATGCAGGATTCATTTCTTACTTGTGGTTAACATTTTTTTTCAACAGAAGAAGGCATTAGAGTATGTTAAGTATTTTGACTTCTTGCACCGTAACGACGATAGTTTAGAAAAATTTTATAAATCTGGAGAATGAAGTTATAAAAAAATGCCAAGTAGAGTGATGGGAATGAATGAAATACATATTTAGGGCAAAATATGTAAAACAACTGATGCTGAGAGGAAAGAAAGACAACTACACCATTTAAACGCGCTAACCTACAAAGGAGTAGTATTTTATATGGATAAAACACGTCAGAGTGGACGCATTTTGGTTGATATGCAGCCATTTTTACCGATAAAATGATGCGTTTTAAAACCTGCGTTTAACTTCTAGCGAAAACATGTGAACATAAAAATAAGCGTGTTGGAAAGCAAACTTTTAAAAACAAAATTTCGTGGGTTGATACTATTTTTTTCTTGTCTTGTTAAATGATTAACGTAGTACGTGACAAATTTTCATATGTTGCTTCAATCTTCTCAGATCATTTTTCATTTGCATGATTTGTTTTTCATTTTGTCTTTTTCACTCCCAATCTATTTAATGTTTTTTTAGAATATTTTCTGAGTTGTATTTTCTTAGTTTTAATCTTATGGAACGTCTTCCTGCGTGCATTTTTTTTACTCTGATATGAGGGTAGATAACATATATAAGTAGGTAAACAGATAGTTGGTTAGATACATAGCCATATTGGTAGATAGATCGGTAAATAAAGATACCGATAGTTAAATAGTTAGATACGTATACAGTAAGATAGATAGTCCAATACATAGATAGTTAAATGAGCGGTTAGACAATTAGTTAATTACAGAAGTGTTAATAATCTCTTTCCAAAAGTAATTTTGTATAACCTCACTATTGATTAAGCTATATTGGCTAATTCTTTTTAATGATAGATGAGTACGCCCAGCTTTTGCTTCTATGAACAAACTTCAAAAACATCGTTTAGTGATATCACCTTCAATCATAGCAGACAAGTTTTGTTCTTTTTCCTCCTTCCGAAAAAGTATATGTCACAGTTGTTTTCTATGACTTCAGTTCTTATTATTGTTTTGATACCTAAAGTCTTCAGACCTTGAATATTCATGCCATAGATATTTGTTTCGATACATTCTCATCAAAAGAAATATAATGATGTCAAGTCAGGCTACTGAAGTTCGTGAGATTAGCGAATTAGTAATGAGTAAATTGTCAAAAATTTTACTCCGGAAACAAAGTAATCGTTTTCATACTGCGTTTTTTTTAATGTATTTATATGGCAATCGAGAACTGTGATTAGCATATGAAAACGGTGGAAATTCCTATAGGATTTTCACACGTTCGTTTCATTGTTTTGTTTGCTTGAATGGCACATTTTAAAAAATAAGTGAATAAAAAAAACCAAAGAAAACCCAAAAGTGGACATTGTTGTATTTGGCTTTATTTCAGTTATTCTTAGATTGAAAAGTATTAGAGAAAGAACGTTATTTGCACTCCAAATATGACAGCAGCTGATAATTTGGACTTATTATTATCAACAACAATGGCTAACAACGGTAACAAAAACTTTGAAACATTTTTGTTAATATGGCTTGATAAAGATGTGAATGCTAATGAAGATAACCAGAAAACACAACAGAAACTGAGAAAATCAATTAATTTTATTAAAACATTTGATGATGTTAAAGAATGTGAACAATGGATTAGACGAAAGATACAGCAAAGTGCAGAAGAGAAAATCATATTAATTGTTTCTGGCAGTTATGGATATGAGATTGTGTCACGCATTTTTGAATTACCACAATTGATTGCGATCTATATTTACTGTCCAATCGAAATGATAAATAAACAATGGTTAGAAAAGTATAAAGAAAAAGTAAGTCTATAATGAAATTTATTAGTTAGACATAGTATGGTTCTCATTGTTCAATAACTATAATGTGGATCACACCTTACAGTAAATTACAAAATATAGCAGGACTTTGTGATTGTGCCGTTTGGATAAAAGTGGACTTTCAAATCTTCCACAACATATCAAGGTTGTCAATTTAGCACATCTTAATAGAGGATACGGAATATCTGAGGTTTTTTTTCATTTTCATATGTTTTTCGAAGATTGCCATGCGCTGAGCTCGAGGAATGGCTAGCTCGTTATTCATCACGGAGGTCTCACTAGGTGATCAAGCTTGGAAAAATTTAGTTTGTGTCTAAGGTTGCATCCGGAATAGTTGTTAATAGCATGTGTAGTTCATTTGAAATCTCCTGTATATTAGTAATTTTTATTCTGTTGAAACTGAATATGTCCGGTTCGAAACTCAAATTGAACCATTTCTATCAGTTTCCTATGAATTATTTATTCAACTTACACAAAATATTCCTTTAATTCTTATGAAACGATAAAGGGTAATATATTGTTGTTGTTTAACGACCGTGATGATAAAAACTGAACATACGTACAGGTTAATTTAGGTTTGTGCAGTCATTACAAAATCTGATGAATTAGTAACAAAACTATCACATGATCAAAATGAACGTGAAATGTTAGAAGCAACCAGTAACAGTTCTATGTCCATGTTTATAAGTAGTGTTGCTGCCGCTGCTTCTTCTTATTCTTCATATAATGACAGCAAACAAAACTCATCCACTGAATTAAATGGTGACTTCTTATGGTCGCAAATATGCATCGAAGTACTCTTAAGAATGAAACGTAGAGATAATGATCGTGAGGAATTAATTAATTTATGCAAACAAATATATGATGGAAATAAATCGGAGTTACGAAATGTTGAAGAATTTCAACATACTTACACTCCAGAGACAGCCGTTTGGTGGTATACAAAACAGAGTTTTCTCTACAAACTGTTAAACAAAGCTCTCAGAGCGCAGGACATTGACATGTTGGTTGCATTTCGATTTTTTATTGGTGACTTGTATCAACAGTTAAAAGAATTATATTCGTCGACTAGCCATCTTCAATCGATTACACGTGTCTATCGGGGTCAAGCTTTACCAACCGATGAGTTTGATGGAATAAAATCAATCATTGGTCAACATTTATCATTAAATAGTTTCCTTTCAACATCATTAGATCGAGAAGTGGCACTTGGATTTATTCCATCGATTCCTGCTGCAAATAAACAAAAGATACTTTTTGAAATTGATATTGATTCCTCAGTTAAAAATGTGAAACCATATGCAAATATTTCTTCGTATAGTTATTTCCAAACAGAAGCCGAAGTTCTTTTTATGTTAGGATCTATCTTCAAAATACAAAGTGTTAAGAAACAAGATGATGTATCAATCATTAACCTTCGATTAGAAAGTGAATATGACGCCGAGTTAAAGCTGTTGTCGGATTATATGAAGCAAAACTTAGATGAAACACCAAGTCTTGTTACATTGGGCGATCTGTTGTTACGAATGGCCGAATATGACAAAGCATTAAGATGTTACGAACGAGTATTAAAGGAATTGAATGATCAAGATAAAAATACCGTACAAGCTGCACGGTGTTTTACAGGTAACGGTACTGAGAATGAAAAGACGGAAAAAGGACACTTTCATGATATGATTTTTCTGTTTTAGGCATTGGTAGAGCGGCTAATTTCGTAAAAAAATACGATCTATCAATTAAGTATCATAAAAAAGCATTGATGATTGATTTGTCAGTGCCCAATAATGATTATAACGTAGCTGGAACTTATAACAATTTGGCGAATGCGTACAAGGATCGACGTGATCATGAGACAGCATTGAAATATTTTTATAAATCACTAGAAATTAATAAAAAAATTAATGGCGACGATTCTCTGGAAGCTGCACGATTATATTTCAATATTGGTAACACATATCGATACCAACAAAAGTATGATGATGCTCTGTTGAATTTACAACGAGCATTAGAAATTCGTCAAAAATATTTGCCACGTCATCATAATGAAATAGCGACAGCATTGACACATATTGGTCGAGTATATTATAAAAAACAGAATTATAAAATTGCGTTGGACTACTTGTTAAAAGCAGATAAAATCTATCATCATTCACTGCCTTCAACACATCCTGATGTAGGTGGAAATTATTATCTTATCCAAGAAATCCGCAGTTTAATATCACAATAAAATATAAACTACTGTAATTGGAAATCTACACTAAAATAGTCAAAGCTTTTAATTATAGAGATGAAGATTCTTTCATTGTTTCTTTGATCATCCGAAGCCAAAACTGTTGTGATGGAAGCATAAATACGAAAATATTTTTTCAATATTTTCACCAGGCATGAAGAACTAAAAGGCCATATTGGAAGGAAGAAACGATCGGTTTAATTAAGTCTTGAGAATCTAAAATTCATTCAAAATGCAAAATATCACATCGTCATGTCTGCCACGTGTATACGGAATAAGTTCAAGAAAGAATGGTGTGAGAGAAGGGTTTTGCCTTACATACTTCAACGCTTCTGAACAACTATACAAGCTGTTCAGGTCGATGAATGCGTTACATTTGACATTTCTTGTAATTATGTATATCAGGCGTAAGTTACGCTGCAACCTTGCGATAAGTTCATTTCTCGATTTTAAGAAAATCATGCATAGTGGTACGATTCGCCATTCGAACACAGAGTACTTCACTTGGTACGTCTAGCGAAAATGAGTAGCTTAAAATCATTGCTATTTACTAAGGTACTGTGCTGGGTACGACATCAAGGGTGTGAGTATGGGTGACGGTGGATACGTATGACTGTCTGTAAAGAGAAGATACAGTCTCCCAATTCCACCCACTCAATTTATTGAAATACAATAAAATAACATACATTATAGTGAAAATGAAGAAAAAAATTGTAATTGATTTTTTGGTAAATAAATTATTTTACATATTTTTTAACGAAGTTTCCATTCGTTTCTTCATAGATTTTGATGATTTACATCAATTAGATATTAGTTTTAATTTTTTAACTTAAGTTAATTTAGATGAATAAATAAAATAAAATTATTTGATTTTTTTTTCAGATTAATGTTTAAACAAATTAATAATTATTCGAATTACATCAGCTAACATTTTCAAATAATTCTTAAAAAAAATTGAAACTTTTTCTTGATTAACGAAGTAATTGATTGATCACATAATGTTACTGATTAATTAGAAAATATCTTTATTTTAAATTGAAATATTTTCAGGCTAATTTTTAGTTAAAATTCTTTCATTGAATACATTTGATTACAAATCATTTAATCTATATGAAATTAATTTATCATTCAATAAAATTCATGTACTTTATTAGAAAACATGCTTTTTTCTATTGTCGAATTTAGAAATTCTTAATCTAATTGGAACTTTATTTAAAAAGTGTCAAATTGAAAGCATTTTTAACTACATCGTTGTTTTTTTTGTTGTGTGCTGATAGTCAACAATTAACCTCTATTAGAATACCAATAATTGCTTTTCTATCAAAACGTTTTTCCAAACTTTGAAGTGAGATATTTATTTGTAGCAAGGTCAACAAATACATAAAAGGTTTTCAGAGCATCTTAATCCAGATGACTAGCGAAACATATAGACTTTGACGGTACATTCAGTTTCAATGGATCTAATATTGTGTGAGTTATGATATTGGTGCATGTGACGATCTTCTCTTCATCCATCCGCATTCACACCTTGCTTCAAATTATTCTTTGTCCATTACATCTTGGACGCAAATCAGCACTAGAGCTCAAATGAACGCAACAAATAAATTTGACAAGATATTGTTGAACTCTTCATACAAATGAATTATGTTTTTTTAGTGAACAATACATAAGTCAAGCATGACTTTGTTTTACGTGCTATCGTTTCTGAGTTATTGAGCTTTTACTAATGATTTTTAAGAAAAGGTTCTGATCCCCTTCAGGTCATATCGAAATCAACTTTCAAGTTTCGACTTCAAATTCTGCACTAGCAATGTTCTCGATGAGATAAGTTCACTGTAGAAGTTATAACTTTTCTAATACCCTCTATTTAGACATGTTAGCATATGATGTTTTCCAGGTCAGAGTTCATAATCGTTTTCAAGTCACGATCTGTCTATAATGATTCTCGAGGTTTGAGAAACATGTTGTTGTATTCTTCGTAGTGCTGATTAATTAATTCGTGCGTTAGTTCGAATTCTTCAAGCTTGTATCTATTATGTCCTTGCTTGCCCTGAGAATTTTCACGAAGCCATGTGATCATTGCTAGCCTGAAGTCCTCGGACCATACGAGTCCGAAATGTTCGTAGATTCGGCGAACGGTATCGATCGGCTGCGCAATTAGGTTATCATAGAATATGTCGAAAACAGGAATATCTTGATGAGTACGATGAAATTTAATGAGACGATTAATCGCAATATCCGTCATTTGCAAGCGACGCTCCACATCGGCGTGTCTGTTCGCCATATTATTGACGTCGTTGCTATCAAGATAGATACTGTTAACCACTGCACTCAAGCGAGCACTCGATAGCACTACGTTCTCCAATCGACGATGGATTATGATAAGTGAAGCTGAAGGATAATGACGTAAGAGAGTATCAAGGAAAAACGTGTGAACGGGAGTTTTCAACAACCAGTGAGATCGAGGCGCATCAATGCTATTTAACATTTGTAGAAATGTCTTGTGATATTCATAAGAAAAATCCTTGTTTACATCGTTGCAAAACCACGTTGCAAATTCCGTGTTGTCATAAGGTGCGAGTGCCAAATCAAAAATGCTCACACCAGCTTGCCACAGAATCATTAGATATTCCTCGTACATATAGAGAGGATGAGAAGCGTGAACCTATTGTACGTAATCGGTCAACCCCAATACGTTGAACATCTCACCAAACATACTTATGACAGTATTCCGTCGCGTCTCTTGATCGGGATTCGAGCGAGCGAGTGGTGGGATTGGCTGCACCATTTCGGTGAATAATGGTGCCCGGCATGCTGGATCACAGGCAAGCAAATTGTATAGGAGTGTTGTATCGGTACGAGCCAGTCCGCACAAAACAAGCGGATGGGGCATCGGTTTGGCTATCATTTTCAGCTCTGGATGAGCGGCTACATAATTGAGCACGCATTTGCAGTTTGCGTAATTTTGATCCAGCCTCAAGCAGGACAGATGACGGCCGATTGGTGAGAGTCGATCGTTCGCGAGTACAATGCGAGCATTCAATTGAAATGCATATAAGATTTCAGTGTGGTAACTAAATTGAGTTTTGGCTTCTTCACTAAGATCATCCTCGCTGAACGTGACGGTCGTGTAAAGAACGAGTAGAGTCATAGTATTGTTCGTATGCTCAGCGATTTTATCGTAGTGCATCGTGTCTACCATACTTTAATATTATTCAGCAACAAGTTTGTTTTAATTATTATAGTTGTCACCAGATAGGTTCGACTATTTTCGTTGTTGTTTCACCACTCGCAACCAGCATACACTCTTCTACAAAGAAAACTCGATTTGAGACTACAAGTATTCGAGAATGCGGTTCCTTTTAAGTTCGAAAAAACAAAATCTACATAGAAAATTTGCTATTTTACCGTTATCAACATTATACTACTTAGTTGAAGCTGAAGATTTGCTACTACTATATTAATTGCATCTGTGCGTGCGGATGTGGTGTGGGGATGTAAGTGAAAATAATACTCACACCGACGCACCCACTCACACTCACAGTTCCTTTGAAACGTCAAATAATACGATGAGCTTTGATTAAAAGTATTTCAAAACTCAGAAAATTGTCTTGTTTCTTATCAAAGCTCATTGTTGTTGTCATGCAAGAACTTCAACGAAAGTTTTTATATATAGAAAGATAATAGGGCATGAAATAGAATATTGACGAAGGGAGATATAATGAGAAATTGAAGTATATGTCTTTAATCATGATATTTAGTAAGGTACTGTATTGATGAGGATATATAATGAATAAAAAGAAATGTGATCTTGAGCTAACCTTTTATTTATGTCCATCTCATTTGAATTCACAATTCGAAAGTGAAAGGCTCGAATCGATTCATGCCGTAAAAATAAAAAAATGAAAAAACTCTAATGACTACAAAATCGGAAAGAAATATCTACCAGAGAATTTGATCAATTAGTTCGACAATATCAGCTAAAATAAAGTGAATAATCAATAGCCGAACTTCCTCAAGTACAAGATATTTCATACAAGAGTTTCTCGATGAACTGGAGAGGGCTGATTCGATATTGCGATGGGGATCCATCGGGAAAATCTTGAATATAATATAGAAGGAAATTGATGTATAAGAAGGCAAATCAAGTCACTATTACTTTTCTTGGCCAACTGCATCGAACTATATATCAAGCCAACGAGGATATCAAGACTAATATTGTGGTACTGATTTCATGAGACTTTGATCGAATTGTGAAACCTAAAAAGCTATCAAGAAAGCAGTGCATTTTAGGTCATTATTTTAATAATCCATCATAGTTTGATGGATTCAATTCGAGAACAAGCAGACACGACGAAATACCACTAAGTTTATCAATTTCACTGCTCTTTGATGGGGCTTTAATCCTATATGTAAATCATTTATTGATTATTTAATTTAGTAAGCTACATGTCCAATGTACCGGTAGCCACGGCTACTATATTACTATACTTATCACTAACTCTTATCAATCAATAAATATGTTAATTTCAAGTTGCAATGAACGAACCTGTGATATTGTTCATTTGATCGCCCCTTTTAAAGCACTACAAAATTATATATTTTTCAAAGTCAAAAATATCCGGTCACTGAAAAAAATTCCGAAACACATTATTCTTCAGATGTAGTTTTATGTCTCTTAAATGAATATTTAAAAGGTTTCAATTAGAAAAAGTTCAATTTGAGTCAACACTAATACGATATGTTTTATGCCTGCTTTCTCTCTGACTTCTTTCTTCTTGTGAATTAAACCAAACAATAGCTCTGCTACTATTTATTGCATATATTTCGCATAGGTGGTTTACATAACAAAGCAAATGTCGCCTGAGAACTGAATGAAGTCTTTGATTGATTAATAATATCGATGCCTAACGGTGAGAAAACGTTTGGCAATAAATAGTGAAAAGCACTATAGTGGTGAAACATACCTCTGGCGTCATTGCTGTAATCACTAAGAAACAGGTATGACTCATCAAGAGTTTCATTTCACTATTATAGGATCAGAAAAGTGAAAAATGACTCATGCCAATATACTAAATTTTTCACTCATTTATCTATGAAATATAGCAGAAGAGAACATACAGTACAATTGTTAAAAAATATTATATAAATCGGTTAAGAACTATTGACGTTTATTTTTGCCCGGATTTTTCAAACTTCTTGGACACGTTCTTAGCTTTTGTGAAAATACTTTTGTCATGATTGTTAAACGTTCATTCACTCATTTTACTTTTATTTCCTATAGTAAAAATGAGATGCAGTTGTATACATTACACCACAACAAAACCTTAACGCTCTATCAACTTTCAGCTATATTTCCGTAATTCAATTATATTTTTATTCTTACTTTGAAATTATGGAGCTGTTATTGATCGTTAGAAAATAAAACGGGTCTTTCATTATATACAAAAGACAGAATGTCAACTTCATCTCATGCTTATCAAATATTTGGTCTTAGTGGGTATTGGTAGATGCAAAAAAAGCAATTCTTGTCACATCGTTTCTCTGTCTTTTTGCGATAAAACGCACAATGAATCACGAATTCAATTACGCGTCAGAAAAAAAGATTTATTGACTAAATAGAACAAAAACAGCTATGATCAAATAGGTGAGAAAAAAACGAAGGAAAGAGTAACAATAACTTAAAAAAAGAGAAGGAACACATATATTTGTAATACGAGCGTGGGCATGATAGTGGTTGTGATTGTGGGTGTAATTGTCTTTATCTTGTTGTCATACTTATGTTCACACTCACATTCTTTCAAGCTTTATGGCTCATTAAAATTCATCGTGAACTTACTTATAATCAAAAGGGCACATTATTCAATGAGAAGTATCATGAATGAGTATGTTGAAATAACGTGATTATATCTAGACCGACATCTTTTTATTATCAGTAGCCGGGTTGATTTATAAAAAGTATCCATCTTTCACTTGATTATTCAAAGTAAACTTGAGGAACTTCGATCTCTTTATTCTTGAAAAACTATATTGTTTCTCCTCTAATTAATTGCCAAATTTTTGCACTTACCTTAAGAGCTATCGTTTGCTAATATCATGCTGTGAACGTAGGAAGATAAGACTTCAGAAGACAATCATAGATGGCAAATGTTACTTTTATGTATCGATAAAAAGGAAAACGTACATGAGTATCAGAGACCGAAACCAAATCGAATATAACTCTCTTTATCTGACTCAGCAGCCATCTCTTCATTAAATCACAAACATGAGCAATAAAGCTCACTTCAGTATCAAACACATGTTCTCTATATATTGCGCTGTTGCAAACTTTATCGATCTTTGGAAATAGATCCATGTGCAACTGTTTTCATAACTAGTTTTCCTTCCACATTACTAGTAGGGCTTTCTAGTTTCTGCAGTATTTACAGCTGTCAATATTTTGCTTTATTTTAGTCAATAGATGGATAGAGTTCTAATATTAATATGGCGGGTATTTGCTTCTTGGATTACATGATCGGTAGTACAGTTATAAGTAATTGCACATTTCAAGATTTATTACTCTACTACATATCCTGATTTGCTAATGGATATAACAACTGGCTTTGTAATCTGAATGTGTGTATGGGTTCTCTCCTCACTTGCACACACGTGTACACCCGGATATATGCATATCTCTATTCCGTAAGTCTAGAACCAAGTCAATCGACTCTCGATCAACATTTCTTGTTATTTTGCCTCGAAAAAGTAAATGATTAAAGAAGAAAAACGTTCAATTAGGTTTTATTAATTCACGAATTCATTAGGATATTCGTGCTGTTAGTGTTTTTTTGAATAAAAGCAAATGAGTAAATAAGGGTAAAAATGTCTTATATTTTGATCGGCAGGTAAAAGATTGCAACTATGTTCTTGGAATATATTGGTATTTTGATTATTTTCTATATGTGGTAACTTAGGAAATAGTGGAATAAGAAATTAAGAATAGTTTATGTCTGTAAAGAATTTCAATTATTACCGTGCGATCGTCTATAACATGCCACAGTCTTGAGTAGTTAGTCGCCAATTTTGTTGAACTAGATACTTAAGACCATTTACAACCATGTTGTACGCTGCGCCATTGGATGCTAGAGATGTGCTACCGAATGTCCAAGCACATTTATCAGCGTTTTCATCACAAGCTGAGTCATACCAAGCATTGAGATATGGATCTGAGACTGTTTCAGCTGCTTCATGAGCAATAACACTAACCATTGCATCTGCTCCTGCATTGCCATTCGGTGAAACCAGCTGATAAGAGCAGTCACTTGGACACAATTGTTCTGGATTTCCTACCCACGAATATTTCAGATTCGACCGAACGTTGACGGTATGCCAACCACAAGCTAGTCTGCAGAAGTATGATTCGGTGCAATCCGCAGAAGTCAATACGAAATATACTCCATTTGTATCATTTGGTAACGCTCCTGAGTTGATAGCCCGTTGAACAATAGCAAATATAAGTGATTCATTAAGAATTTTTCCTTGCGAATAGCTATCTGTTGTTGATCGACCAAAGGTAATTGGTGATGTGTTATTATATCTTCTAGTTATATTCCACCATGCAGTTGAGCCAAGACCTTGTAAAAAATTTTGTATAATTGTTGTTCCATTATTTGCAGTCCAATTTCCATACCAAATTACATAGATAACTGAATTTGTCATAACAGGGCCTCCGTGGTAAGTTATAGGTGATGAAAGCGAGCGACCTGATGGTGCTTTTGGCTTAGTATCCGCAATGACTATTGAGCCAGGTTTTGCATTGCAGCTATCTATGCAATAAAAAAATGAGAAAGGTGAAATGGAAAAAAAACTAGGTTCTCAATAGAATAATTGTTTCTTATATTTCTTTTGAATGCTTGAGTTGAACAAATATAGGAAAATTAGGGGTCCTCAGTAGAGTTTAAGCTACCCTCTCTCCACTTCGAAAGATTTGGTATCTACTAATATGTAATTGAAAATAAATTTTTGTGAAACACGATCTGAAGCGAGTGTGGACGTATAGAAGGTAGACATATAAACCTTTCGCCCCCCTTTCCACCCCCGCCATGCCTTGACAAACATTAGCCAGAGACTATCACAGACCGTGACAGACGTAGATATACAATCATATATTGTATATTTATAACATCTCGTTCTAATATTTGAAAGGCGTCTTTATTACGTTTCTGGAGCATTAAGTAAAAGGATGATGAAGAAATGTGCTCCAAAATAAATACAATAAAGCAATCTCCTGAAAATTAGCAATAGGATCTACATCGTGTTTCACATATTAATCCTGCACGGACTGTGCTAATAACTTTTCCCCATAAAGTCTTCAAATATTTTTTTCCATACTAAATTTCTCCTCAACACTCAAATATTGGAAAGTCTTAATCTTTTGCCCATATCGTAGTCATTTAAACACCCCCCATTTCCTGATTCGAAAATTTCAAAGTTTTTCAGTTTTGAGCTCTTCATTATGATGTCATTTGAAGTGCCGTCTTACCCCGTGGACACATTTGAGGAACATAAACTCACTTTTTTTGAGGTCAAAACATGCGACAGAATTTGAAACCTAGGTAAAAAAAATCTGTTGGTGAGTCTGGGTATGAATCCTCTGTCTACCAACACATGCATAAAGGGACATTCACCCACACCCACATCATATCGAACAGTCATCAATATTCAGTCATCCACACTCACTCACAGAAAAGAAGATCATTATGAGAAGATAGTATATTCTACGGGAACACACACCTTCTCAAGTTTGTGCCAGTCTCACCCCGGCGATGTTTTCTAAATTTTCTCTCAACTCCTGCCCGAAAAGTATCGATAATAGTTCCACACTCTTCTAACAATCGCCTTAACACCTGATATACTCACTATTCGCTGTAGTTGTGCTAGTTGGCACAGTTGTTCCTGTTGGTGTTGGGATTACAATCAATGTAAAGACGACTATTGCTGGACCGGATGCAATGATTGAAAATGGTCCCACTACACCTGGAATATAAGTTGTGACAACCAGAATATATGTAGTACCAGACGTAAGATAAACTGTAAGTTGGAACTGCGCATTGCCGCCTGAGTCATCATCAGAAGCAAGTAAATTTGACGACGGTGTTGATACATCAAAACTGCTGCGATACATATACCCATAAGTATCCATGCTGCTATTACACAAGAAACTATAAGTGCCAGTTGTAGAAATGGCAACTTGAATGGTCTTGTAGTAGTAATATCCTGACGTACCACCATAACGAGTATAGGATTGAGTGGTGTTTAGCAATGCACTTGAAACGTTCGAGCGAACTAAATCTGAATGAGATATTAAAACGATGGCATTAACATGAACGGGAAAAGTTTTCAGTGTAATGTCTACGGGGATACAACGTGAAACACGACGCACTCAATGGAATCATAGCTACATCTATTGTATCACTTTTGGGGACCAATGAGCTACTCCTCAAACACCCCTTCAAACTGCCACAAATAAAGACAATTATGGCCAAAAACCTCCAAAAATGTCTGTGACGGTATATAATGGACCCTAGAAAAACTTACTGAAATATCTGTCATGTTCTGAGTGATGGAATGTGAGACTCGTTTTGCTCGCAGTATACTTCAACATTTGTTATCAGCCATGTTTCAGAAAACGTTTAGAAGACATCTAATTGACTTTCGCACACGAAAGCTATTTTAATATTGAGATAGTATTATTAGTCTCGTTGGGAGCTTTACAGTCGACTCATGACAACAATTACTACGGTTTCTGCTGATTATTTCATCCATTGAAAATGATCCCAAGGTTGATCAATTTGACTAAACCTTTCAATCTGACTTTGAATTTAGACAGGTAGAAAAGTAATAAATTTCATCCAACCAGAAGCGATATCATCTCTGATGGTTCTCTAATTCTATCCATTGGTCACATGACTATAGAAGTACTGCTGTGCGATGATGGCGCAACAGAATGTAATTATTATTGGCACGCGACAATTATGACCAGTATTTGATACAACCAGGTGTGCAAATAGCAGCGTTGATGAGATAGGAGTAATTCACTAATGTTGTGCTTTTTTCTATTTAGTTACTTGCCACCAGTTGACGAAGTCCTATTTTTGCCTAAAATTTGTGCTTATCCTCACTTCTAAAGTTTCAACTAGAATCAGTTAAGTCCAACTTCGCGTTCAACGTCATGCTAAGCTGACTCTTCCACCCGAAAGATTATATAACCGCTTTCTTTCTAATGTTCGAAGATTGTTTGTGTCTCTTGAAACAGCTCCTATTTCAAGGGTAGCTCAAAGCAAGAAGAGTGGAATTCAGATCAACTGAAATTGACGCATAAATTTTTGGTTACTAGTGAACTGATGAGCCTGAGAAATTGTTTGCGTAAAATAATGTTCTGCTGACATTTTTTCGCATAATAGTGAAATACCCTGATCAGCACTGAGCGCATTCTTTTACAGTGCTGCTTCCCAACAGTAGTAATTGAATTCTCTCATCTAACAGATCCAGCATTGGACCAATCATCTTGTTCATATTTTGAACAAAAAAGCAAATTTATTTTACAGGTTCCTCGTTCTTCAGCCTGATCAATTGTGAGCTTTGCTGCGGCTGTGACTATGGGTGAAGTGTAGTTGTTAGTAGAGTTGATCACAAATACGACCCATCTCAACATTCACACTCACACCCTTTATTACCGTTAGACAATATATTTATTCCGGTACACATTTATATTGCGCATGGGTTCTTTCTTCATGCTGAATTATCTGGGTCAGTTGGAGTGGTTGGATCGAAATGTCTATTCTCATCTTCATGTCTGATTGAGTAGTTTTACGAATTGAAACAACTGCCTAAATTGATTCTCACCATAACGCAGAGAAATATTGCCAATATTTGCCTGGCCAAAATTACCCATAGAAAAAAAGTTAGAAAAAAAAACGTACAAGAACGCGTTCTTGTAATAAAAAAGCGCGTTGGTAAAATGCGTTTGAAAAAGACTCTCAAAACATCTTAACAGCACATTTGAAAATAACCCGTTTTTGTTTTGAAGAAAAAAATGTTGATCTTCAAGTCTATCATGTTTCGGAACCTGTTCCTTGCCAGATAACTGACTATTCCTAGATAACTCGTTCCTTTATCAGTGAAATCCGTTCTCGAACAATATGTTCTGGCTGGGTCTTAGACGAATTTGAGTTCAAATAAATATTCGATTTATAAACTTAAGACAGGGATTTTATTATAAAATTTTTAAAAAAATTTAAATTTCTATAATAACAATTGATCGAACGTTTTTGTAATTATTGTTTTATAAAATAAAAACAAACTTCGGAAAGAGTCCACATGAAAATAGAAATGTTTTCTTAAAAATGTTGTTAAAGCATGTGTTTTTGACTGAAACGTAAAACTCATCTAAGGAAAAAATAGCTGATATCAGATATTTTAAGTTAAATTGATTTAGGTAATTAAGGCAATCTTTTATTAAAAAATCGAAAATAAACTCTTCATGTTTTAGATTTTATGTCAATTTAAAATAAAAATGTCTTTTTACATCAAAGAAAAGCAGTGCAATCAAAAGCTTCAGAGATATAAAAAAACAACACTCTTGTATTGTTGTGGTAGTAGTCTTTATTTATTTCCTCATTGTGTGAAACGTCTTATTTTAGAAAACGAATTCCACATGCAGCCTTAATCTGTCATAAAGTGCTTAAAACATTGGCATGAAACGTTCAAAACGAAACAATTTCTCATACATGAATTTTTTCATTCGATTAATTTTTTTGTTTAAAAATTGATAAAAAGTGTACAAGAAGAGGTATCTCCCTCTTTAACCCATCTATCTTATTTAGACTTAGTACAATTTTTACGAAAACACGTTCTTGCTCGTTCATTTTTCTTATTTTTTTCCCGTGGGTATAGCGACATAATCGTATTTGTGATATTTTTCTACGCAAAAAGCATCAATTCGGTTTGACAGCTGAATCTTCAGATAAAGTAGTGGTGCATAAATGTTTTGATAGAAATATTGTTGAAAAATAACTAAGCTTTGAATTTTTAGTTAAGTTTTGTTGGTCAATCAAAATTAACTTGGAAGCTTCGGTGAAGTTCAGTACTCCTACTGCGAAAATTGAGATCAAAATGAGATTGATATTTGAACAACAAAGTAAAGAAAAAGACATCTTTTACTACGAAATGTAAGCTTATTGGGAATCTTACATCGTTTCTTTACAGGGATAGATGTCGATATTAAATACGATTGAAGAATTTGAAACTATTTCTGTACTTTTTTGCTAGAATGGATTGACGTATGTTTAGAGAGGGCATTTATCTCTGTAAAGAAATTATATGCATATGTTACAAATATGTCATTTTATAGCCAAAGACATCTAATTTTCGAATTACTTATCCAAAAATCAGTCTCTTCTTTATCTCAATTTTCGCCGCAAAAATACCTAATTTGACTGACATTTTCAGGCCAGTTTTGATCGACTAATGAAACTTAATTAAAACTACAAAGCTTAGATATTTTTCAACAATCCTTTTATGAAAATATTCAGAAACAACTTCTCTATCTGCCAATGCAACTTTCAATCAGAATTGATCCTTCATGTATGGAAAAATAGCAGAAATACGATAGTGTCCTTATAATTGTGACAAGAGAAAAGTTGATAACTTTTAGCTGAAATGTCTTTTTTTCGAATTGGTCACTTGGGCTCAGAAAATCTTCGTTAATAATTTGATGGACTATAAACGAATCCGTAGAGTCATCTATTTTTTTTCTGGCAATGTACGTAATCGGAGTCCGATAGTTAGTAAACAATTGAAATGACACTGTTGTTCTTATAACTGTGACCAACTACTGTATATGTCGCTACAGAGTTTGAAATTCACAAGAATTTTAAAGGCTTCTATGTCTTAATTTCTCCTGAGGCATATGCTAGCATGTACATAGTGACGCTATGTCACCGATTCTAGGGTATGAAGATCAACGTTTGGTGATTCAATGAGCCAATTCTTCAATAAATTGATGTTTGTTTTTATTGAGATGAATTCTTAGATAGTTTAATACTTACGATCGATGGAATAACTCCGTCAAGGTCATGATGATAACTCCTTGTGACCTTTCTAAATATTGTCACTAGGTAAAAGCTGTTTGAAAAGTTGTTGTCAACATGAATTAATGCTAAGATAACAGTAGAACCAGAGATATCATAAAAGCAATTCTCAGAAGATTCTTCAAATATTTTTCACAACTAAAAATCACTTATCAATCCCAAAAACTCTTGACTGAAAACAATGCGAAGAAAACTACGTCAATGCGGATGATATTTAGTGGAATACTCTTTGAGTCTGAAGTACTCACTGGTGGTTGACGTTGTTGTTATCGTCACGGTTGGTGTTGCTGTCGTTGTACGCACTGTTGTTGCTGTTGCTGTCGTTGTACGTACTGTTGTTGTTACTGTAAAAAACAGTATTAAAATCCACATAGTAAATTCATCAAACCTTCTTGTGACAGCTATATCTGATTGAGATACTCAGTCGTTTCCTTTCAAAGCGTATATATATTCTCGAGGAATTTACAAAGGAACTTTAATTTAAAAAAAACCTAAGAACTCTTCAGTCATTATCTGCCATAATTTCGCACCATAGTTCTTCACCACCCGTGCTTGAGCGGATACCTAAGCAACGCTGCGTAAATTTGTATGAAGAGTATATTACTTGATTTCATCATTTCAAGCATCTTAGAAGCACACTAAGCAAATAAAATAGCGCTTGCAAATCATGTTTATGTGGGGGAAAAGAGGAAGTGGCGTGTAACACGCGTAAGCGTGAGCAATGGCATAGGGCACTTTCGATGAACTGTACTACTCAAAGCAGGAGTCACTGAGCAATCACCGAAGTCAAAGCGAATATAATTATGTAGGGCGTCCAGAAAATCACTAGACAAAGAAGATTTTCAATATCTTTGCCATATTTCGACAATATGAATGATATTTTTACCACTGATAAAGTAATGCTCAGAGTTCATTTTCATAACAGAAATGTTGTTAAAAATCGTTTTGAAGTATTTGCAATTGGTTTTTAACAAAGAACTGTAACCTTTCACGAGTTATGAAAAACTAATATATTTATTCCTCTATCCAAACACAAAAAACATCTAATATT